GTGCGCCAAAAAGAACTTCGTCGCGGTGCCGCAGTTACCATGGCCGAAAGCCGCTAGTCCAACAGCCAGCAGCTTATCACCTCACTCGGCTACTAGTCTCCCCTAAGGCTGATCAGATTTTTGACTCCGATCCTCCCAACTCCCGCCCACCTACCCTGACAACTACAGCATTTTTTTCAACCAACTCGCATAATTTATTTACTTAATCACCACATAAATATAAAGGCCTGACTAGAATTTACCCAAAACTAACGTATGTTCGCCAATTGATCTTCTGAAATTTTCAAGGGGAATTTTCGCATAAATGTGTACGTGCATTTTAGTTTTAATACCGTGGTTAGCTTTGTCTTTCCAAGGCAAACGAAATTAATATGGTTGGGAGAGAGATAGCAAACAGGTTAGCCCCTGCCAGCCTTAAATTAAATAAACTGTGATGGCAGAGTATGTATACAAGTAGACTGACGTGCCACTGTTCCGATATTACTTGATAATCGTCCAGCCGGGTTTAATATTCCTGAACATCACTTAAGTGCCTTCCTCTCAGGGGAAACCATTAGATCCATGTGCGCTCAGCAGTGGTTTTCTCAGTATTCTCTTCTGATATATGAACTCTTGAGGATCATCAGGCAGGACATGGAGTAAAGTGTCTGGCATATGGCTTTTTGAGGGATTTGTCCTAAAATAGAGGTGTAAACAGCTCCGATTTTTCTAAAGGCGAAATGCGAGAACATATTCGCACGGGCGAACGCGTCCTCTAACGCCAGAGAGCTAGTTATCCAAACCATCTTCACGCCACAGTCCAGCATGAGTGATGAAAGTTCAGTAGGTCACAAGCCGCACGCCGGCCATGAAACGATTAGCGCACAGGCGAGGTGAGGTGAGGTGTTAATTGACCTAGGTATTTAGTGGCATAGTGACTGCATCCTACAAATACGGCAACTCCCTGTTGATGAATGACCCGTTTCGGCTATTATCACTGCGGATGGCTCCGCGACGGAAGCCGAAAGTTTAACCGAGTAAGGTTCTTGTTCCACAGCGATCTCATCTGCTGCTGCTGCTTCCTCTCGATTATTTTTTTTATCCAAGGAACTTCACCTGCAGTCTGCGACCTATCGCAGTAAAACCTTATGACGAAAACTAAGACCATCAATTGTCGGCAAACTCAACTGCTGCGCATGCGATTTATTCAGTTAGCCTATTCAGGAAAATGTCCTCTTCTTGCATACAGAACAGGTTTATAAATAATGTATAAGTTCATCTGTACATAACTTTAAGCGAATATTTGTGTTTCTTTGTAGTTAAGCGGTTTCTTGTGCTGATACCTATTCGAGACTACATTTGCGCATCCGCGCGTGGTTTTACTATAAGTAATAAAAACTCGAGCGTTTAATAAGCGGAACTTGCCGCATTGTAAAATCGATTTTTTTTTCGGGACGTAAATCGGGCGAGGCAGGTTATTTTTAGAAACCGATACCTTTTACTGATGTTTGAAATTAACATTTGCAAATCTGTGCCTACTGTGATGTCCTAAAACGCAGCAATAGTATTTACTCACAATCTTTTGTTTAAACGTCCCGACCTTTTTTCTGATTTTACAATTTACCAAGCGAGGCCGCTCATCCCAGGCAGTCGTGCACACCCTGGACACACGATACATTTGCATGGGAGAAAATCCACATCGTTGACACCTGCCCAGCTAGCAAGAGGCGTTAACTCCCCGAGGCAATGCACTCAGACGATGCATCTATACATAGCATATTGATCAAGCGTATCTTCCGCAAACAAAAGGCAAACAAGTTTTAACGAAGTTCGTACGGATCATCTTGCAAACGCTTGATACGCATACAGCAGTGGGCTAGTTTTCTTCTTATCGCTTACAGTGTAATTCTTGAAGGATATATTTAGCCCGATGATTATCCAAAGAAGTTTTTAAGCATTACTTTACTCAGTTAGTCAGTTGTTAGCGCTGACATGTTTTATGACCTTCGCATTAATCTGGCTTACCTATTTGACACGCATTTTCGCGTTTACGTGATTTCCGCTCGCCCTTAATCTCTCTAATGTACAAAACACGTGTCTGGGCCTTTAAGCTAGTACCTGTGCTGGCAGTAAGGTAAATTACAACATTAATTTATACTACTGTTTGCCCGTTGGCAGCGTATTTACATTACGTGGTTATACCGCAGTGGCTGATGGAGGTCGGCCCAAATATATGCATCAGATTTCGGTCTGCGCCTGTAGACCTTGAATATACTAATCTACACCGAGAAGAGAAATTAATTTCTAAGGAGATTGAAGGGTTGACATTTCACAACCGGCATATCAACCAGAAAGCAAACTGAGGAAGCTGGGGTGCCAATCATGAGCCGGACCCCTCGCAGCTGTGTCAAGCAGCGGCAGAATACAGGCAAAACACGTGTCTGCATCTTTTATCTAGTACCTAGGCTGTTAGTATGGTAAGTTACAACATCAATATACACTATTAAAGCCTGTCCGTTGGCCGCAAATGCATATTTCGCAGTGGCTGACGGGTTTCAACCCAAATATACACTTACAATTTCGGTCTACGCTTATGGACCTTAAATATACTGATGTATACCGCGAACAAAAAAATTACTTGCTCAGGAAAGTAAGAAGCTGAACTTTCAAAACCGGTATATCAACCAGAGAGCAGATAGGGAAAGCTGGGGGACCCACTAATGAGCCGGACCCCTCGCCGTTGTGTCAAGCAGCGGCAGAATACCAACCAAACACGTTTCTGGCCCTTTTAGCTTATATATGTGCTGCCGGTATGGTTAACTACAATATCCATGTTCGAAATGTTTGCTTAAATACGTTTGTGTGTTTTCAGTGGACTGAGTGTCATTCATTATTGATCAGATGGTTGGCTAAGAATGCAGTTTGGGCGACTGCCGATCTATGAGGTGTGTTTCGGGAATTGAACAGTTGTGCTTCATACTGCATCTTCGCACAACAACAGGCCGAGCAGCAAATGTCCATTGAGGACGAACCATCTCGCTAGTCGAGGATGCAGATTTTTGGCCGTTGGTGAAAACTGCTGTGCTGGGCACGAGAAGGAGAGGGAGAGGGCGGGGATCAGTGTATCAAAGCACAACTCCGGGTGAGGTGGAGACGAGGGAAAGAAGTACTCACCTTTCTCACCGACAAACGGAAGGGACCAAGTGAATACGTCCATGAAATTGGGCAGCCAGTAGGGATGGGAAGAGCAGTTAAACTGCCGAATGTTCATCACATTATTCTCGTACTTCAAAATGGCCGCTAAAAGGATACAAAAGGGGAAATTGGCGGTCGTCAGTACCAGAAGAATGCCCTACTTGGTAGGAAATCTATTGTGCCTGGTTACAAGCACAAAAGCAGCCACGCATGCAAGAGGGCACCAGAAGTTAGACAGTTTTTGTTCTGTATGTGGGAAAATTCGAGGATAAAAAGCAGGGGGTTCGAAGTACTACGGATAACCGAACGCAATGCACTTTGGGATGGAATCCACACACTCCATTTGGTTCTGCACATAGGTCCAGTACAAAGCTCAGTAGGGAAGACTTGTATGGTCACCTATGCACAACACAGAAACAGGAACGCCCACAATACGTTTGGCTTGGCGCCAAATTCCGGGGAAATTTGTTTTGGATTAAGGTGCAATTTTATAGTAAGACTTAAGATTAGAGTCAGCGTAAGGATTTGTTTAAGGGTTAACTGCAATGATT